TCCAGAACCACAAGAAATCAGAAAAAGGAAAAGAGAAGGAGGAATTAGATTTATATGAGGAGGAGGCCCTGCAAAAACATATATATTAGATTTTCTCCACTTGGCCTGCATTAAATGTCTGGTCAATGTGGATTGAGCGGTTACGCCAAATCTTGGTCATTGTCTTAAAATGTGCTTTAATAAATATGAGAAGGAGGAAATCAATTTGGAGAAGTTAGAGATGAGCTCTAGCTCTTGCAGCCCTTTCTCAGGCCCGCTTCTGACCTCATGCTGCCTCTGCATGGTGGCAGTGGCATCGTGGTCACACACGTGTCCTGGCTCAGCCCAAATCCTGGCCCTGCTCGCCTTATAACTTGGGGTATATTGCTTGCTGTGCCTTGATGTTCTCATCTGTAAAGTGGGAATAAGAACATATAGTCCCTCAAAGAATCTAGCAAGTACCAAAAAATATCAGCTATCATTGCCAACACCTGGAGGACGCATTTATTTATGACTTAAGAAAGGATCTCCCTTAACTTTGTTTTTCTTACTTGCACTCCGGTTTTTAAAACGGATGACTGGCATGCTGTCAGAAAAAATTTACCCATTTCTTTTTTACTCTAATTGGTGAGTAAGCTTACATTGACCCGACATTCTCTGGACTGCAAACAATTGAATTTGCTGACCAGCCGCCATGATGTCAAGCTTTAAGTCAACAGTGGCTAATGACTGCTCTGGGAAAAAACAACACCTTGATTCCTCAATTACAGTTTAAGAAGCCCTGGGAATCAGAGGCTTGCCAATCATCCGCATCCTCTTTTGAAGCAAGCATAATGTGCTGGGGAAACAGGTCACCTCTGAACTGTTTGTGAGAACAGCACACAAGTATGATGGTTGTGCCCTTTGTATGTTCCAGGAGGAGACTGAAGAGACATCCTCACAAGAGTCTGCGGAAGAGGATTAGGGGGCGCCAACATTTGATTTCTACCTCAGCAGCAGTTGGATCTTTGGAAGGGAGAAGACACTGCAGTGACCACTTACTTACTCTCTATTGCCATGGTCTTTCCACTTTCGTCTGGGG